TTCCTAAAGTGTTGATTTTTGCTTTAGCAGACAGTTAATTTGGTTCAACTCAAACTTCAAATTCAGCCTCCCTTGTGGAGGGCAACAAGTCAAGTCTACTTTACTAACTTACACTTCTAACCATCTTGTTTTAATATGTTCCTTGGAGGTTCTCTTGCTTATACATAGTTTGGGACTTAGCAAGGCACCTGTAATTAATATACAGATTTCATTTTTCTTCTCCATGACTTCATTTTTTCCCAAGGTTTTCTCTCTTACGTTCCAGCCATTTTGTTAGCTCCCAAACCTATCCTCAGACTCCTTTAGCTGATAAAATGGTTTTTGTCTGCCTGAATTTAAGTGACATGGAGCTAGGTAGGCCACAGTTTGCCCCCAGCTAGAAACTATAACAACCCAAATTTTACACTGAAATTTTTCTTCATTCAAGGATCAACTCCCCTTCAGACTTTGCCTACTTTTATATGGCTCTTGAGAGCCTTCAAACAATTGTTTTTAATATTTTGTCTACAGATTATATTTTTGTCTGCTGATAGGTTTAGTTAGATACAAGCTGTTTATTCTTTGTTGGAAGCAGAACTTCCCTACTCCTTTAATAAAATGACTTTGAGAAATGAAAGTTTGGTTATTGTTTCTAAATTGCGATCACCTATGTTGGTGCTAATATCACTTGGCCAAAGGGTGGCGTGGTATACAAAAATAGCATATTCCAAAGTCCTGAGAGCAGTGTTGTGACAGCCTACCTTCAGGTCTAATATGTGATCTGACTTTTTAGGAACATTTGAATATTCAGTCACCAAGCAAATTTATAGCCAGTGAGTAGTAGTACATCATTTCAGTCAGTATTAAAGGCAGGGAAAATTCTCTTATTACTTAGGAATTTGAGTCTGGTGCTTCATGGGATGCAGCATTACCTCTGATTACTTTGACTACACTGCACACTCAGGGCAAGCTTTAGGGTCACATTGCCACTGTTCTAGAAAGAATGAAGGAATTCACAGTCTACTGGATTAAGGGGAAAACTTGAAGAAAGAAAGACAGGATTTGAACTTGTGTTTTTAGATAAAGGTAGAAATTAAAACTCATAGACATGCTATAATTGAGCTAACATAATTTCTTCTATCTAACAGCATTAGGGTTGAGGTAGTTCTAAATTAAATTTACTGTTCAATCTAGCATGAGCTGAATTTATATTCTTGCCACATTTTCTATTTGAGAATTAAGCTGTAGATCAGGAAAGAGTGAGATCAGCTATCCAAACTGTACTTCAAAGAGTCCTTCCAAGAAAAGGTTGTCTCCTAAGTGATGCTGAAGCAATCCTAAGGAAAGACATACTTTTTTGAAAATATTTGTTTTGGTGGACATCTTATAATCAGAATATATAATATAAAATATATGCTGTATATTCTGATTTTTTATTTAAGACATATGAATGTATGTGTATAAATGATCATGTTTAATGTTGAGAGCCAGGAGATCTTTAAAAAAAAAATCATTGAGAAACAATTTAAACCTGTATCCCAAAATGTGACATGTTACACCAAGGGCTGACCAACTACAACCTATAGGCCCATGGGTATTGTTTCTCTAGAATCTTTTGCCGATCTCTGTGTTACACCATACTTGGTGATGGGGATGCAAAATAAAGATTCTGCTCCCATACAGTTTACAATCAAAGGTTTCTCCTTAGAGAATTGACCATGTATTGCTCCTCCCTCTCCTCCCTCTCTCCCTCCCTCCCTCCCTCCATCCCTCCCTCTCTCCCTCCCTCATCTTTCTTTCCAGATGCTGCTAAAATTTAAGCATGTCTGATAAGAAAATTCTAATTGTTCATAAGTTTTTTCCCTATCTTTTCTCTTATGTTTACCTTTTAATTTTAAAATAGTGGTAACATTGCATATCTACTGACATTGCTATGTAACAAATCATCCCAATCTCAGTGGCTTAAACCAAGAACCACTCATCATTTCTCATGAGTTGGAGTCAGCTGGGGGTCAGTTGGCTTAACTGGGAGTGACTCTGCTCCATGTATTTCTTATCATCCTTCTGGTATCACCCTGGACAAGTATTTCTAGTGATGGCAGAGAGTAAGTGGAGACACAAGAAGGCCTCTTGAAGTCTAGCTGGGGACTTGTATACCATCATTTCGAACTCATTCTATTGGCAAAAAATAAAAATTTTTTAAAAATCATGTGACTGAACCCAAAGGATGGGAAAATACGCCCCCCTTACTAGGAGGGTCCTGGAAAGCTTACATGGCAAAGGGTGTGAAAATTTGGGGATAATAATACAGTCCGTCAAAATGTGGTGTTGTATCAGTATATAGCCTATAACCAGCATTAGGAGCTGAGTTACAACTCAAGTATTTTAATGCATAGCTTTTATATGCATCAGAGATCTGGACAGCATGGACGCCTTCCTCAGAAGTCATTTTATAAGGGTACCAGGAGTATAAGGACCCTAAATCCCTTCAGTTTCATTAGTATATACCAAATGCCTTCTTTGTGCCTAACACTATATTAAGTTGTGGGGCTTAAGGAACTGTAAATCAGCAGTAAACACAGATCATGGATAAGTAATTAGAAGATGGGGTGAGAATTCTAATAGTTGAAGTATAGATTGGGTGTACAGGTAGTAACAGAAAAGAGGAATAATCATCTCTGCGAAAAGACAGAGAAAGCTTTGTGGAGGAGATACTCATTTAATCTTGAAAGATGAATGGCTGGATGCAGTGGCTTATTGCTTGAGTCCAGGAGTTTGAGACTAGTTTGGCCAACATGATGAGACTCCATCTCTACAAAAAAAAAAAAAAGTTTAAAAAAAGTAGGCAGGGGCAGCAGTGCACGCTTGTAGTCCTAGCTACTCAAGAGGCTGAAGCGGGAGGATCACTTGAGGCTGCAGTGATCGTGCCACTGCACTCCAGCCTGGGTGACAGAGCAAGACCGTGTCTCAAAAAGAAAATACATCTTAAAGGTTGGAGAAGTCAGCATTCCCTGCAGAACAAGTTTGGGTAAAGAAGTCCTAGTTGTAGGAAATATAATGGCAGTCTGTTAACTCTTAGAAATTAAGTACTATAATTAAAATATCTTGTTTCTACCCAGATAATAGGAAAGTCTCCAAGAGCCAGTGAGTAACTTTATATTTTACTCCTTCTTACATCATTTTCATTGCAGTTCTCAAATGTTGGCATACATCAGAATCACCTGGAGAACTTGTTGAAACATGGATTGCTGGACCCCACCCCCAGAGTTTCAGATTCAGTAGGTCTGAAACAAGACCAGAGAATTTGCATTTTGAACAAGTTCTCAGATAATTCTGATGGTGTTGGTCCAAGGATAACACTGAAAACTATTGCTTTATATATCTGGTAACCTGTAATGTGCCGAGTATATAAAGATGAAAAGAAAGCATCTCTGTCCTAAAATTGTTTATAATAGGATGGTGGTGGAAGACAGACAAGTAAATGTGTAATGATAGTACAATGGAAAGCATGCTGTGATACGTGGAAGTACAGTTTGCAGTGAGAATGCACCAAAGCATCATGTAACTCAAAATGAGGCCAGAGGCTGCAGGTGTGGGTAAGACCCAGCAAAAACCCTTAATCCTGAGCTGAGTTTTAAAAAATCGTCATAAAATAAAAAAGTAGTAACAATGAAAGAAATGACTTTGAATCATGCTTTGCATGAGATTGGTAAATGGATTCCTTTTTAATGGATTGCCTTTAAAGATCACAATTCTTTAGGAAGCTATTACTTCTGTAGGTGAGACAACATAACTCTGAATTAGTCATTTTCCCATCAAAAGGTATCCTTTCCTTTGTTATTTTGCTTTACTCCTCTTCAACAATATTTTAAGAAGCTAGAGAAAGATATTATGTTTATCATGTGTGATTCAACATTTTCACAAAAACTGCTAGAAATTTTATGTATGTCAAAATGCAGACAAAACTAGACAAGAACAGGAATAATCACAGCTGGTGAAACAGAGCTGGTTAGGCAGCTTCACCCAGAAATTTAGGTGCTGAGTCCATAGGTGAACAGGATCAGCTATCCATTGCAATTGTAGGTTAGTGTGATATCATGAGATAAAGTGGCATCTTTGCCTCAAGAACAGCACTGATGCAATGGATAGGTTACGGACCTGGGCAGGACTATAGATAGCTTTCACGTGGACATAATAAGCTGGGTGAGGGGATTAGGCAGGAATTAATAGAGATATACTTGAGGCAGGCTGCTGATTGGTCAGTTCTTTGAGTTATATGCCCAGCAAATGGAAGCAAGAACATGACAAATGGCTGGGCTGTTTTTGAGAGAGATTTACACTCATGAGGTTGCCTTGGCAATGAAAACATTCTGCCTTTTGAATGAAGCAGCCCTGAACTATACTGTCGTCACAACCTAAAGAGATAACACCTTTGTAGGAATAATGGTTTGTGAGGCTTCTGGCTGTCCATTTATTTACAATTTTAAATCAAAAGCATGTACCTAAAACCATGTAGAATATTTTATTTTTTTGAGATGGAGTCCCACTCTGTCACCTAGGCTGGAGTACACCGATGTGATCTTGGTTTACTGCAACTTCCGCCTCACAGGGTGAAGAGATTCTCCTGCCTCTGCTTCCCAAGTAACTGGGATCACAGACATGTGCCACGACAACCAGCTAATTTTTGTGTTTTTAGCAGAGACGGGGTTTCACTATATTGGCCAGGCTGGTCTCGAACTCCTGACCTCAAGTGGTCTGCCTGCCTTGGCCTCCCAATGTGTTGGGATTACAGGCGTGAGCCACCACGTCTGGCCTCAATATTTCATTTTAAACAATAATATTCTGCCTGGTAAAGGGAGCTGAAGTCCAGAAGAAATTATAAATAGAACACTCAAACTTTAAAAGGATGTAGTACAATATATTTTTATTGAAGATAAATTGGCAATGATAATTATTTGTACTGTTTTTACTTGTCCTTTTATAATTTAATTAACAATGAAATCTTGTAAACTTTTTCTTAGCATACATCTGTGGATGGATATACTGAACCACACATCCAGCCTACCAAGTCAAGTAGCAGACAGAACATACCCCGGTGTAGAAACTCCATTACGTCAGCAACAGATGAACAACCTCACATTGGAAATTACCGTTTACAAAAAACAATAGGGAAGGGAAATTTTGCCAAAGTGAAATTGGCAAGACACGTTCTAACTGGTAGAGAGGTAAGTTTGCACAGTGCCTTTTAATATCTACCTGGACCTCTCTGGAGTCTTGTTAAAGCTTCCCTGTAGCTGATGTTTGGGAGTAAATGACAGTTTCAATTGGGTAAACACTGGGGTGTATGTGAATGGAACATCAGTAGGTAGAGGTTTATCATGGCATAAAAGTTGACCTTTTAATGTTGAGAAAAGAATCATTCCTACATATTAGCATCTTTTATAAATCAGTTGTGCTGCGGATGAGCTTACCTCAGATTCTGACTTGCATTATATGATTTCTGTGAACATTTCTGATTGCCATTCCCCAGGATGGCAATCCCCAGGAACAAAAGTTCTTAATGCTTGAGATAAGTTAGGTATAAATATGTAGAAAGTCACCTACTAATTTGTATCTGTTTAGAGACTACATTGAACAAGTATTTCTATACAGGTGATTTTCTCAGGTAATAAGATAATTATAGTTCTAAAATCTCATGTGTTTTAAGTTACATGTATTTATATAGTAAGAATGTATATATTTGTGCATATGTGCATTGCTTATATATGTCTGTCTGCTAGGGTTAAAGACTTTATTTGAATAAATGCATAACATTTGTATTGTATAACATTTTCTAGATCTGATTAGGATATTATAAAAAAAAAATCTCAATCAGGCCCAGTGCAGTGGCTCATGCCTGCAGTCCCAGCACTTTGGGAGGCTGAGGTGAGCATAGTTGCTTGAGGCCAGGAGTTCAAGACCAGCCTGGGCAACGTGGTAAAACTCCAGCCCTACAAAAAATACAAAAATTAGCTGGGCGTGGTGGTGTCCCAGCTATTTGGGAGGCTGAGGTGGGAGGATCACTTGAGCCCAGGAGGTCAAGGCTGCAGTGAACTGTGATAGCACCACTGCACTCCAGCCTTGGCAATAGAGTGAGATCCTGTGCCAAAAACAACAACAACCAAACAAAAAAACCTCAAGGAAAATATTTTTATTAAGTTTTCACTTTGCTTTGTATATAATATCATTGTCATTTCCCATTGAATTTGATTCTTCTGTCTAATCTGACCCCAGGAGCCAGAGACAGGCTACACTGGGCAGAGCCTTAGATATTCAAGTCCATTTTGTCAGTTTGCTTTAAGTAAGCTTGGGTATCCAATCTCTTTAACAACATAATCGTTTTTATTCACATAATATTTAACTTACTGTAAGTTTACAAGCCACTTCCCCCATAATTGTTCCTTATCAAGATCATGAGTAAAAGGTTAAGACACAGGATGATTTTTACTCTAAAGGAGGAAACTTAGAAGAAATAACAAAGCTTTAATTTCATTGGCTCAGGATCAAAAGGTTAAAGACTTGGGTCAGTGGGGTGTATTCTAAGACTGCCAAATTATCAAAATGTTACTATCTGATGATGTGAGTACTCAAAAGAGCTAAATTATATGTTAGGAATGAAACAAAACTTTTGGGGTGTTTTTTGTAAGTTTTATTCATTAAAATGTACATTTTTCAAATAGTTTAATGATTTTTTTTTTAGGTTGCTGTGAAAATAATAGACAAAACTCAGCTAAATCCTACCAGTCTACAAAAGGTATTTAATTAATTTAATAATAAGTAGTTAGAATGTGACTTTATTATTAATATATGGCGTTCTGTAAAATTAGTCATCTTAAATTTTCTATTAGGTACAATCCTACATTTCATCAATATATGAAGAAAAGACATGATATAAAATGTAATGTTTATGACTTACCAAGTAGTTGCTTGAAAACTGTCTGCTACTTAAATACATGTACCATAGGAAAGGAATTTATCTCTTCTCTTCAATAGAATACAACCTTGTAAGCATTTGAAATATTCAAATATTTTGAAGTATTTTCAAGTATTCAGAATTGACCTCTGAAAATTAGACTTTATTAAATGAATAATCCTTTTACTGATAGTATCTGATTTCTTAACTGTTGTATAAAATGGTGGCCTAAGTCATTTAAACTTTTCTGAGTTTTCAGATAAAGCCCAGAGTCCTTGCTGGTAAGCTTCTTAATTATCTAGTTATAAGTTAATATTGTTCATAGTTGAGTTTCCTTTTATTGCTTCATTTGCTGGTCTTCCTTCTTCCACAAGAACTACTAGTCTTTCGGATAGCTCACAGTAAAAAATAAGAATGTTTCATTAAAGGATGAAAATATGAAGCAGCATAGAAAAGAAAGCAGTTAGGATGGGGATTGCCTTAGCAAGCTGTTTCATGTTACTTCATTAATTACTCAAATGGGAAAATTTTCTCAAATGAATATTTTAGTACTTTAAAAATGAAGCAAATGTTTTAACACTTATGCCATATATGATAAATTTGTGCAGAGTGAGAGAATATACATTGTAACTTTTATTAGAATATAATGGGACCATTGTCACATATGTAAATATGACACAAATGACTTTGACTTCCTAAAACAGAATCTTCTAAGAAATTGTTAGTAAGCTGTGTTTACACCTGCTATGACTGTAGCATTAAACTAAAAATTTAGGTTTGTGATATCCCAACTTCTCATTTGGCTCAGTGCCAGATTTGTTCTTAGCAATCTGCCTTTGTACTTACTGGAAATTCTTTTTAACATTTGACAACCAGTATAACTTTTCATAATACTGATATTTCTGCTCAGTGAGAACATGAAAGCTTTGCTGGATTCTTCTTTTTCTGTGAATGTGAAATAATGTATTATGGATCTCTTCTGGGAGAAAGTCTCTTCTTCCAGCACCAATCTTTTTGGTAACCATGATGCATTTGTGTAAGTGACGAAAAGGCATCCCCCCTGAAACAGTTACGCAAAGATGCTGTATTTTACTCGGCTGGAAGCACAATGGGACATATCTTTGCCCGCCCCTGTGCTAGGAACCCATTTAAAATGCACAGGCTGTGTAACTGTGCACAGTGTCCCTGTCCGTGGCCCATCTAGCTTTTCCACTTTTCCTGGATTTAGCTGTGGATTATTTTGGCAAATTGAGTGATTTTCAGTGGCATCTAGAACTACTCAGGCCTGTTGTGCTAACTGGAATGCACAGTAATGTGACCCCTACTCTGTCTTACCCAAGGTTGTATAAACAAAGTGGTACTTACTGAAATATGTGAACATGAAACTGAATGTTGCTTTATTTATCTGAATAACTAAAAGATGTAATTGTTGATATAAGTAATTTCTGTCATAAAATCTACTTAATCTTGTTGATAAAGTATTGCTTTTCCAAAATAGGCATATAAAAAATGATACAATTTTGTTTTCTTTACCCTGTGAAAATAAAAATAAAGATGAAGACTCACTAAATGTAGCCAGTAAGCTGTGTGTGTGTGATTGTTTTTTAAATAATTTACACATATGGTCATAGATTTGCTTTCTGTTAAAACAAGCTTTATTAATTATCATGTGTTTGTAACTTTCAGCATTTGACCTTTCCCACTTAGTTGGTAGCATCTCCCAGTCATTCAGACCTAAAAAATAAGTAACGGAATGTAAAACAATCCATTTTTCCCTACCATTGAAAAAAATAGTAAAATTTGCTTCTATATCTTAGGTATGCTCATTAAAAGGCAGGTAATTACCACACATTTATATGAAATAAGGATTCATTATAATCTCACTTCTAGAAGTGTTTGGCTAAATTTGTTCTGGTTTGATCTGAATTTAAGCTGATCCCTCTCCTTTATCCTCTTCTGTGTAGAAGATATTTATAGGAATTATAGCCTTCCTTTGCAAGCATCAGTGATAGATAAAAGAATCTAAACTTGATACACCAACTGCTTAAAACTGCCAAAATACACTTCTTAAAAGTGGTTTTTAGAATTGCTAAGGACCTTTGGCTTCAATATTGTTCCTATAATATGCTCATATTATTCATGTTAAATATTTTAAATTAATGGAATCCAATTTAATGAGTTTTCATAGTTAAAAAGTATTTAAGGTAGATACTAGTTTTAGTTCTTCCTCTTCAAAGCATGAGTCTTACCTCATATAGTAGGGTCACCCCATTCTCTACTAAAAATACAAAAAAGTAGCTGGGCATGGTGACACGTGCCTGTAATCCCAGCTACTCAGGAGGCTGAGGCAGGAGAATTGCCTGAACCCAGGATGCAGAGGTTGCGGTGAGCCGAGATCGCGCCATTGCACTCCAGCCTGGGTAACAAGAGGGAAACTCCGTCTCAAAAAAAAAAAAAAAAGAAGAAGAAGAGGGTCCATGAATCATACTAGTAATTCCTGGGGTTCTTTTTTTTTTTTTGAGGTGGAGTCTTGCTCACTGGGTTCAAGCGCTTCTTCTGCCTCAACCTCCTGAGTAGTTGGGACTCACAGGTACACACCACCACACCTGGCTAATTTTTTTTTTGTGTATTTTTAGTAGAGACGAGGTTTCACCATGTTGGCCAGCATGATTTTGATCCCCTGACCTTTTGATCTACCCACCTGGGTCTCCCAAAGTGCTGAGATTACAGACATAAGCCACTGTGCCTGGCCTCCTGTGGTTCTTTTAAGCAGCCTCCTAATGTTGAAGGAAAAGCAAAACAATGAAACAGTATTTTTCATTGTTCATAAATTTGAAATGTTGTAAGGTTATCATTTTCTCAGAAATATCACTAGTTTTGAAACTCAGACACATCAATTTATGGAAAAATGACAAAGTTTGTGTCAGTCTGTCTCAGCTTACAGTCACCAGGGTGCAGTTTATCTCTGCTAACATTTTTGTATCTTCTGTATATTGTTAATTAATTTATATTTTCTATTGTTTTACTGTGTTACATTATGTTCCAAATTCACAAAAGTGGTTAAGTGGTTCAGAAGTGATTTCCTAAGTAGTAAAAGCTGTAATGAAAAGAAAAACAAGACTTACTGTAACTCAGAATATGTCATCATATAAAAGATGACTGGTGCATTAAAGTTACGTGGAATGTGAATCCCTTGTTATGACAGTGATTTTACACAAACAGGAAAAAGTTTATAAATTCAAATAATTAAATTCTGACAAATAGACTTTATTAGATGAATAATCAGTTTACCACTCATGACTGGTCTGTTATCTGTTATATAAAATGTTGTCAAATGGTGGCCTAAGCCATTTAAACATTTATGAGCTTTCGAATAAAGGCCAAAGACCTCTCCAGAACATCTGCAAAATAATCTTTGTCATGTTGAATAATTTGGTAACTAAAGGTAGAGAGGAGAATAGAACCATGGGAGCAATATTCAGAATTCAGTATGTTTTAGCAAATTATCAGAAACCAAACTTGTAAAACCAATCACAAAATTATTGAAAAATATTTTTATCAAGGAGAGAGCAGAAGTTCTTTGGAAATAATCCTTAAGCAAATGCCGCTGTTGGATATATGTTGAAATATCAGCTCCTCTCACTTATACATGCTATGTAGCCTATTTCACTTTATAGCTGAACAGAATCACTTATCTGCTGAGTACTTCTTTCATACAGTTCTTGTCACATGTGTGTGGATCAATTTAAGGAACAATTTGGCCAATTCTTACATGGGCTAACAAAAGCCTAAGTGATAAGAAAATTCTTATTTTGTGAAATGGTATGTAGACTGCATAAGTTATCTTTTAATCAATAATGATGAAATAACTCTAGAGCTTTGTTGAGGGTTAAAGGTAGGGATAATTCTGCAAGGAATAATACTACCATGTGAATAAATTAAAATTATGCCTAATACCCAGTGACTCACTGTTTCATTCTCCATGAAATTCGTGGTCAGTAACATATTTCTAATTTTGATTTGGTTTTGGACAAAATACTGAAAACAGGGTTTAACATAAAATCATATGAAGAATTGGTGGGAAGTATACTTTTCACACTGAAATATTAGGATTTTGAGGGAAAAGCTGTTTAAACAAGTTTTTTAAAGGTGATACCAATAATATCAATATTTAGCTAAAATATCAACAGTTTAAATGTTGAGGATGTGATCACCAGATTTGTTGAGAACAAACTGCAGTTTACTGACCAAAACTCTGACTTTTCTAAGCCTTGTTAGCCCTATTTAATTACTGGAGAAAGGACTCAATGACATATGATTGGGCATGTTTAACCATACAGATGTGCATCCAAATATGAAAAATACCTTCCAGAGCAAGCATTTCCAAAGAGTATATTAAAAATCTATTTGCTAATGTCTCTCAAATTGAAACTTCCAGTCTTTCACATTTTGAGTGTAATAAGCTCAACAACCTAGAATTTGACAGCCATACATAATCTTCAGGGAGACATATCTCTTTAAGGTTAGATTCATTAATCACTCTGAATGTCTTGAGAATTATCCAAAACATTACCTAATGCTTATTCATTTTTCCAGTCAATCTATGATTGTGACTTGGGAATTTTCTTTTTAGTCTTGCTGATTTTATTTCTTATATGTCTTTTGAAAACGTCTGCTTTTATCTTTCTCCATCATGACCAATTTAGACAAAGTCACTTTATCTTCTAGCCTTCTAACTGTATCCACTTTACATACGTACACACACACACAGAGAGAGAGTTTAAAATGTAATACATAGAGCTTAAAAGTCATCAAGGATGTAAAATATGTCTGTGAATATG